GGGGGGGGGGGACCTCCCTGAAATGAGTTTTTGCAGGTTGGGATGTCTGTTAAAGGATCACAGCAAGTTACGTGAGTGATTTTTGTTTAATGCCTAATTTTATTTTGGTAATCGTGCTGCACAGCGGACACGAGGACTCAGACATTTTTGTCATAAAGTAGATTGGTTTCGGCCGTCTCTCAGTCGGCATATTTTTCTTTTGATTTTAGGACGCTACCATTTTTCCGCTTTTTTGTTACTGTGATAGTCGGGACTTTGAGACTGAAGTGGGAACGCTGATTTTTTTTTTCTTTCTTTCTATCAACCTCGTTCCCCTGCTGGATTCGTTGGCAAGTTTTTTTTCCTCACCGCCTCGTTCGGAGTTATAGTAACGTAACGAATACACTGGCAGCCACGGACTGATTTTCTTCGGAGCGCTACTCTGGGCTGCGAACGGCACAGTGGTTGGAGGTGTTTCGAGGGACTATTCTACTGCATTACACTGCGTGAGACCAAAAAAAAAAAATTAAAGAAAAGTTAAAGTCTTTTATGTTGATTTTATAACTTGTATCTGTTATTTATTTTTCCTTGGTTTGATTTATCTACTTTTAAGTGAGTAATTTTACTATTGTGGATGTTATCTCTAATGTTTGATTCTATCCATCCATCCATTAACTTCCGCGTATTTGAAGTCGGGTTGCGGGGGCAGCAGTCTCAGTAGGGAAACCCAAACTTCCCTCTCCCCAGCCACTTCTTCCAGCTCCTCTGGGGGAATCCCGAGGCGTTCCCAGGCCAGTCGAGAGACATAGTCCCTCCAGCGTGTCCTGGGTCTTCTCCCGGGCCTCCTCCCAGTGGGACATGCCCGGAACACCTCACCAGGGAGGCGTCCAGGAGGCATCCTAAGCAGATGCCCAAGCCACCTCATCTGGCTCCTCTCAATGCGGAGGAGCAGCGGCTCTACTCTGAGTCCCTCCCGAATGACCTAGCTCCTCACCCTATCTCTAAGGGAGAGCCCAGCCACCCTGCGGAGAAAACACATTTCGGCCGCTTGCACTCGCGATCTTGTTCTTTCGGTCACTACCCACAGCTCGTGACCATAGGTGAGGGTAGGAACGTACATCCACTGGTAAATCGAGAGCTTTGCCTTTTGGCTCAGCTCCTTCTTCACCATGACAGACCGATGCAGCACCCGCATCAATGCTGACGCCGCACCGATCCGCCTGTCGATCTCCNCCAATGAGAAGTGTGGCAGCACTTCATGGCATCTCCAGGAGAACTCTCATCCGGCGAATGAAGGAGCACAATCTTTCAGTTACAGAATCATATTCTGAGATCTCTGACGAAATGCTTAAAGAACATGTAAGATTTTTTAAATCACGGATGCCCAATGCTGGCTACAGGCTTGTAAAAGGACATCTTCAATCAATGGGTCACCGTGTGAAGTGGAAAAGAATAAAATCAGCCATGCACCAGATTGATGGAGCAGGAATTGTTTCTAGAATGATTCAGCTTCGTTGCATTGCCCGCAGAACATACTCAGTTCCAGCTCCTCTGTCACTGCTACATATTGACACCAACCATAAACTGATTCGGTAAGACATCTTTATTCATTCTTTCAGTCTCTTTCAATTACTGAAATACTTCTGTGTCTTAATTTTTATCACCAATGACTTTTTAGGTTCAACATTGTAATCTTTGGGGGTGTTGATGGATTCTCAAGAAAGGTATTATAAATGTATTTCACGTAATCTTGTAATTCTGATATTCTTCCGCATTGCTTTAAGTTATTCTTGTACAGTATTGGGAATCCCCAACATTTTACATGCAGATGAAGTATCACAGCAAAGATCTGAGACTTCTCTGAAAGGTTGTTTTTTATGTAATGCCTAGATTACATACCTCGATGCTGCCACAAATAATAAGGCTTCAACTGCACTGCATTTTTTCTTGGAAGGAGTTAGAAAGTGGGGATGGCCCTCAAGGTAAGGCCCAACCTTTTATTTAGTTTGGGTGTGTTTATACTGCATTACAAGCATTAATTCAAAGTATGTTGTTTTACTTATCAGAGTTAGAGGAAATCATGGAATTGAAAATGTCAGTATAGCAAGGTGCATGTTTGAGGTGCGAGGAACTGGACGTGGAAGTTTTATTGCAGGCAAGAGTGTCCATAATCAAAGGTTTTTATCAGATTTTCGATTTCATAATTATTTCATAATTAACCTACATTGAAAATATTGTCCATGTATGCCTGGTGCCATGAAATGTACCCTTAATTTACTTTTTAAAAACTCTTATTCAAAGTCATGTCATTTTCATGTAGTGCCTATAATTCTGTTAAAAAGTTTTTTAATTTTAAAAGTAACAGTGATCATTTCCCTTTATGTAGAATTGAGCGCTTGTGGAGGGATGTTTGGTGCACAGTGACATGTCACTACTACAACACCCTTCACAGCTTGGAAGAAGACAGAATGTTAGACCTGTCTAGTGAGCTCCATCTCTTCCTGGTTCACTATGTGTTCATTCCACGCCTACAATCCGACCTTCAGCGATTTTTGGAATGCTGGAACAGCCATCCCATTCGGACTGAAAATAACTTGACTCCAGATCAACTGTGGCATATTGGAATGCTGCAGAGTCAGAATCCAGTGTTAGAGCCAGAGGTAGCTTTGATTATTGATCATATTGGAACATAGTGAAAAAAATGACTATACACAGTATACTGAACCTTTGCTTTTGTATAACATAAAAAAAAACAACTTTTTTTTTTTTATTGGAAGTAACGTGTTTCGAGTAGACCAGAGTAAATCGCCAGATAAAGACATGTCCCAAAACATGCTAATATTTTCCAGGATTTGTTTTGGATCCAGATTTTTTGTACTGATTTATCTAATTCTCTGCATTTGATTTATGGTAAGATATGAGTATATATATGGACCAGGCTGTGCGTTCTTACCAAGTTAGATAAATATATTTTATACCCAATGCAGGGACTGACAGACTTCAGCTTCACCCCTGAAGACCTCCATGAGGACACTGGTGACTTGGGTGTGTTGGTTCCAGAAATTGGATGTCCGCTGTCACATCAAAACCTGGCAGTGCTGCAGACTGTCATCAACCCCACAAGAGAGTCATCTTCATTTGGCCATGATCTCTACATACAAGCTCTCCAATTGACTCAGGTTTGCAATGGGAAAACATTTAATAGCATTGTATATAGTACATCTGGACATAAATTTGCATTGAGGTTCTGTTTGCAGGTTTTCAGGATATAGAAAGCTTTATGCAAATAAAAGAACACAAAGGCTATAAAGCAGAAACTGCTCTGATGAAAATTCAATTAAGGACACTTCATTTAAGTTCAAACTTAAGTTTTCTAGCCTCCATTAAGCAGCTAACTAAGGTACCACGTACGTAGCAGTAAGATACGTTTGGTTAAGAATTTTAAATTTTTCCCTATAGCTGGTTACCCGAAAATCCCTTCTTCCAGAGGACATTGATTCTGCACATCAGTTA